GTTAAATATAATTACGATGATGGTAGCTGGAAAGCGGTATTATGGTGTTGAAGCTGACAGCCATGAGGCCAGAAGGTGCCAGAAAGCCCTCAATGAATTCTTTCGTTTGATTGGCATATTCGTGGTATCAGACGCAATACCCTTTTTAGGGTGGTTGGATTTTGATGGATATGTGAAGCAGATGAAAAGGACAGCAAAGGATCTGGATTTAGTGCTCGGAGGGTGGCTCGATGAACATAGGAATAATCGGAAATTAGATTCAGAACGTAAACACGATTTTGTAAACGTGATGTTGTCTCTTGAAGAGGAAGGAAAGCTCTCCGGTTTACAGTATGATTCAGATATCAGCATCAAATCTACATGCTTGGTAAGTTATATATATACAATAAGTTGTATCTTGTGTTGATCGATCATGATCATACTTTACTTAAGTTAATTTTCTCCAAATGTTTACAGTCGATGATGTTAGGGAGGTGGCAATACACCGGCTGAGACGCTAACGTGGGCTATCTCATTGTTGCTAAATCATCCCGATCATCTAGTTAAATTGCAACATGAACTAGACGACAAAGTTGGTAAAGACAGACAAGTTGTTGAAACCGACATCAAAAACCTCGTATATCTTCAAGCCGTTATTAAGGAAACATTACGTCTATATCCTGCTGGGGGCCCACTTCTAGGACCGAGGGAGGCGATGCAAGATTGTATGGTTTCAGGGTACCATGTAAAAGCCGGGACTCGGTTGATAGTTAATGTGTGGAAGATTCAAAGGGATGAGACGGTTTGGACTGATGCATCTGAATTTAAACCCGAGAGGTTTATGGGTGAAGAACATGAACATGTCGACTTGAGAGGACATCAGTTTGTCCTCATCCCATTTGGGTCAGGTCGACGTTCTTGTCCTGGAGCCACGCTTGCGATCCAGGTGCTTCATTTGACTTTGGCTCGTCTTGTTCATTCTTTTGATCTAGGTCTTCCTGGAGGTCTCCCGATCGACATGACTGAGAGCCCTGGGTTGACCATGCCAAAAAAGAAGCCATTGCTGGCCCTCCTGACCCCACGCCTTCCATCCGAACTCTATGGATAGTAGAAAAACTGAAAAAGTATTAATGTTGATATTTTGTTGTTTGGAAGAACAATCTATATAATGTACTGGAATAATTGAAGAGGTCCTATATAAATAACAAAAAATTACTTATCTATGTCTATTTTTAAGGTGTCCTACAAAATTACTTGATGATCTTAATCCCATTAAGCAAAACATATTCACTTTGGCTAGGTCGAATTGTATAATATCAGAAAAAGTTAAATCAGCTAGCTTTCAAAAGCCTTTGGTAAATTTGGATGTTACCAATGGAATATTGAATATTTAGCAGCATATGCTTTCATATGATCAACTTCATTAAGTACAATACCTAGCTAATTCGTTTAAACATATGTTTTGATACGAACTTGTAGTATACTTTGGAGAATTTCGAGGACATACCAAAATATAATTATAATGATCAAGAATTAAAGTATCAATATCATGATCATGAGGCTAAAAACAATAACTCCATTACATGCTAATACCTCAAAATATTGTTCGGACTCCCTAGTAGGCATGTCGAAAATAACCGAAACCCAAACTATCCGTCTGACCCGTTATGAATTCGAGTAGATTAGGTCGGATAGATCCGGTATTCGGGTAACCCAATATTTAATTAGTTTGGGTATCGGGTAGGCATAAAAAAATTCAAGTATACTCGAATACCTGATTTTTTTTCTTTAAATTAATACACAATTGACATTGTATAGATCGATTAATTTACATATTTAGCAATTTCTCACTATTAACCCATATTGATATTTTTATAGTACAAGAAAATTAAATAAACGTTTTATTAATAATTTAATAGAACCTAAACATTTGCCATAATGACAACAAAATATGTTTTAGATTTTCCAGTTGGCAAGTAACCACCACTTTCGCCCCACATATAATGTTATGTGGTGAAGCTCGTTTCCATCAAACATCTGTTGTTGATCATAGCCAATAAATCAAAAATACCCCTCAAAATATATTTTGTACATAGATTCAAACCAATCTTTGTTTAATCAAAACTAACAAAAATTTGATCTACATATTCAGATACATGACCTTTCCGCAAAACAAGAAAACACAAACTCCAAATGGATATGCAACACTTAATAAACAAAGTACAAGAGCCAATTGTTGAACATAATATTTACCGGGAAACAAAGGCAATTGTTGAACATAATTTTTACCAGGAAGCACAAAGTCACAAATCTTTAAATCACAATTCGCATTCAAAAGCAAGTTGCTTGGTTTTAAATCACGGTGTAAAACATTTGCAGAGTGTACATATATTAGCCCATGTAGTAACTGTTACAAAAAAAAATATTGTCAAACCAAATACAATGCAAATATAAGTGTCATTTATCGTAACTTTGTCACATTTTTGTTGAAACATTCATTAATTGTTGTCAAACTTGGTTAAAATATGGCTATGTGTATGAGTGTCCCGGTCTATTTCGTTACGAAATAGACGTCACTTGCTTGATGGTAGAGGTGTATTGCAATTCTTTGCAATATTACTATGTTTTCTAAAAAGTTGCACAATTATATTGAATGTAAGGTCAATACACCTCCTAATCGATTTGTCTTTTATTGATTTGTTTTAAATATTAGTTTGAGCTTTTTTTTTTTTACTTCTCTCATATATTTAGAAAAACTTCCTTTTTTGTGTGGTGCTCACAATAACACAACAATTCAATCATTTACTTTCTTTGAGTTTCATAAACGGTCACAATTGTTTTTTAACATGTTTTGCACATATGCTATCATGAATAGATTATATTTTGGAATTTATTCATATGAATTTGTGAGATATATATTAATAGCGCAAATTGCTAAAAATAATAATTAGAATTAATTATATATTTTTAATAAACTTATTTACATATAATATATAATAAGAGTCAAATTTAAAGCTTTTGATAATAAAAAATAAAAATAACTGATATATAAATTAAAAGATCAGAGTTGTAAATTGTGAGGGTTGGTTATGTAAAATAGATGAATCATATAAAGGATGAAATCACAAGCAAAGATCGTTATATATATATATATATATATATATATATATATATATATATATATATATATATATATATATATATATATATATATATATATATATATATATATATATATCTATATATATATATATATATATATAACCATTTGAAAATGACATCACTTAATCTCATCACTACACAATCAATATATTGAACATGGTATATCCATCAAGGCACATCATCAAATTATTTTATTTTTATTTTTATTAATTAAGTCATTTTTTAAATTAAGTAAATCTAATAAAAGTACTACATTTTCAGTAAAATCAAAACATTACGTAGATTAAAATTAAAAACAAAAACCCGAAAAAAAAACATGAAAAAATACCAAACATTGAAAAACAAAATAGCATATATTTATTTTGATGTTTTCTTTGACCGCAATGAATATTTCTAGATCCTCCCCTTCGTAATCTTTGGCTTTCATCTTCAAAATTTTTAAATCGTTCTTTTTTTGTTTAACAATTTGCGTTTCTTTATAAACTTATTTTGCTTCCTCCGTGATCTTAACTTTTGCTCTTGTAGTTGGACGTATCAATCAAATTTCTCATCAAAATTGATCGATACTATTCGCCTCTTAATTTTCATACTAGAGTCGGAAGCTGCTTTCTTTGCTCTATTTCTTCCAACGGACCGACGTAGAAGTTCTTCATCTTGAAACTCATCCATCGTTGATATTGATAAACGTCCATCCGTATGATTGTTGGGATTGGCTATGTGATTGGGATTTTCTCGAGCACTCTGAACTGAAAGAAACCAAATTTTTGGTAAGAAGCAATTTGCGACATTACTTCAAATCAAACCAAGAATTCAAATAAGGAAAAGTTTTCCGGGTTGGTTGTGACTCTTGGTATTTCTTAAGCATCGCGGCAAAGACATCAAAATTGTTCGCTCCACTCTTGTGCATATTCTTGAGATTGTTGTGAGTTCCATTAAATTTGATATTTTAACCTCATATTATGTCATTTAGAAGTTAAATTCTCGTTGGTTCGATACTCGACTTGATCCATTTGTTCATAGAGGATGTTTCGAACAGTTTCCCAAAAACTATCTCCCGTTTGTGCATTCCTTTTAATCATGTCTTGGCTAGCCGCAATCCAAGCGTTTGCTAAAGTGGTTTCTTCAAGTTCCTTCCAATCCCTTGCTCCCGTCGGAACAGGTTTAGGCTTTTTCCTTTTAGCTTTGACTTGTTTTGGTTGCTCGAATTGTTTTTCTTGTACTTCATTGGGACATGAAGGGTTCAATTGTGGTTGAGAAAGTGGTGGTTTCACGAAAGCGGGTTGTTGATAGACGAAAGCAGGGGCTTGTGGTAATACTTTTTTTGAAAGGTTGTTGGAAGAGTTCTTGTTTGGGATAGGAGAGATTTGGAGCAAACTAATGAATCAACCTTGTGGTGAATCCACGTTAGGAAGTTGATGTGTGGTCGTATTTAACGAAAATGTCATGCCAAGATTTTGGGATCGGCTTGTTGATGGTGTTAGGATTTTTTTCCATAGTGAAAGATGAAAACATATTTGAATGTATATTAGAAGAAGGAAAGTATAGTGTAAAGAATATGATTTGAAGTGGTAAACTTAAAGGGGTAATTTTTTATATTTATATTTTTTTACATTGTAGCCATTGTTTAACGGCTAGAAAAACACCCATGCGTCAAAATTCACCATCTTGTTTCCTATTCATTCGTTCCCATTCATTGTATTCTCCACGGAGCGCCAAGATTGTGACACCGGGGTGTTGTGCACGCATGTGGAGTAGCTACCACCTAAGCTACGAATGGTCCTTGTTGTAGGTATACGTTGGGGCTTAAAATGTAAAGTGATACATCAATAAAACATTTTGCAACAAGATATGCATCCGACCTCAAACATTTGTAGATTAAATGCACAAATATATATTTAGAAAAATGTGTCCAACAACAAATTACCAAATCCTTAATATGGTGATGACATATATAAAAAATGCAGTGATTCGTACACAACAGTTTTTCTCCATACATAACAAATTTATGCTTTAGATGATTGTATAGTACAACATTTTAAAACATAAATTGTTATGCATGGAGAAAAACTATTGTGTACGAATCAACTCTAATATAAAAAGAGTAAGTCATGCCCTATGTACGACCCATGTCAAACCTACCCTAAGGCACATCATGTAGACCAGTAGCAATATTTTCGACATGAAAGATTTTAACCTTAAACATCCTTACTAGAATTATACGCCTTAACCACGAGGCTATATTCAAAACATCATCTTACTAATACAACCTATACTTGAAAGAATTTTTAGTAGAAAGAGTTAGTTATTAGGCTTAATTTGTATGTAGACTGATCGCATGAAGATAAGTATACGAAGGATCGAATGTGAAATGTTGCAAATAGATGTGGGCTTAAATAGGAAAAAAACACATGTTGGAGTGTTGATATGTCATTACTGAAGATAGTAGGGTAGAAGTTATAACCAGTCAACATGTAGAGCTTATTTTCAGTCGTCATTCACCTCTCACATCAAAACCTAATTCTCTTTATTATATATCTCAACTCTTTGTGATTGCTTAATGTGATATTAGAGGAGATAATCACATCGATTAGCTTTAGGCGTGTGATCTACATATTATGTCTAGATTGAGTGTGTTAGAAAGATTCAACATTTTTGTAACACCCATTCTCCTGGATGAATCATTTTAGGGTTTCAAGGAGTCAGAAGTTGGAATTTTAGAATAATTGGAGCCTCACGATGTGAACTTTGAGTGGTCACGACGTGAGATGGGTTTAAATGAAACTTATGATCGGGACTGGTCTCACGACGTGAGACATAGAGGCTCACGACGTGAGAACTGATGCAGCCCAAGCCCATGATCTTTTAGGGTTTCCTTCATATTTAAGCACATCTAAACTCATTTTAGGGTTCTTATCAGCCTCCAAACCCTCTTTCACCTCAGAAAAA